GTTTATGAATTCAAACTCCATGAGATTTGTTCAAATCACAGTTCAACCCTTTAATAACCAAACACATATCAAATCATACCCTCCATTAGTAAACTAATTAAATTGATAGCCACAAAATTTTTGATGAAATTCTCAAGATAGCCCGTCAGAAACGCTATCATCATTCCTATCATAGCCGTGAAAATTGTTGAACTACTCGCGTGGAGCGTAGCCAACCTGTACATATAGTTACTGCCCTGCAATAGCTTCATTTGTTTGAAGCACTGCATCAATGGAGAGCATGACTGCTAGTGAATCCGAAATAACAAACCTAATAAATACTACTTTCTTCTCTAGAGCTGCCATTGATGCAACCAGTGTAGCCACAGTCAAATAAGTCCCTGCCTGTCTTTTATTCCATTTTTTTTATGTTTCTTCAGTTTTCTCTTCTGTACGGTGGCAACATTCTGATATCCTGCAGTAGCACCCACTTCCTCCAACTCTTTCTTGATTAAAATCTACACAATTGCTTTAGTTTGACACAGAATCGTAACAAGGAACTCTCAAATTTGTAGCAATTTGTTGATTAGGTTAGTTTCTTAAGTTAAAATAATGTCCAGATCCAATGTAACCTACATTACTGGAAGGGTATAAGTATATTTGTTGTGTCATTGTACATTCTTGAGAAATACAAAAATATTTTTCCAAATCTTCCCCTCTCTCTTACATGGTACCAGAGTAGAGATGTTCAAAATACTAGTCTGATTTAGACCTACTACACTTGAAACTATGACAGAATCGTCTGAGGTGGTAGAATGTAATAGAACTCATTTTATCCTAGAAAATTTGACTGCACAAATGCTAGAATGTCATAAGCTATGTTTTTTACTCGTTAAAATAATCAAACAAAATTGAATATTATGATGTTTAACTTCTTTAAATTTATGTACACCCCTAATTCTTTTGTAATAGTGCACGGCACACAATTCAAGATCCATTTTCTTGCAGCTGCAACGTACTGAAGTCTTGACTGTTCAGGAGCAATAAAATATGCCAACTTGATGATTAATGCTTTGAAAATGGATATTCTGGAATTGACATCACACTGACAAGCTAGTTGAGGATGAAGCCATAATCGAAGAGTAATCAGGACTGCACTAATCATATAATGCTGAACTAAGATGTAAAGAAAAGTATTAAATTTATGCAGATTGATGCGGAAGTAATCTGTAGACAAACGTATCAAATTTGGAACAAATTTTTTGAAAATGTATATTCTATAATTACGTATCACGGTGACTATCTAATTAGAGTGAAACCATGTCGAAGTAGTAATCAGGACTGAACTGAGACGATGCTGCGGTAAGGTATAAAGAAAAGTATCAAACTCTTGCAGGTTGATGCTCAACTAATATGTAAAGAAAGTTGTCAGAATTGGAATCTGGACTCCAAATTGAAGATCTTTCTAGTCCTCCTTGCATGCGATTCTTGTCTGCCCTTTTCCTTGTCATTTCTTAGTGTCAGCAATTGTTGTAACCTTTTTTCTTTCATTTGATGTGCTTTCCTTAGCTGATTGTCATCTACTTATGCTGTGTACTTTGATCTCAAGTTGAGTATCGTTATTTGGCATGACATGGTTTTGAAAAAGGATGATTACGACTTATGCACAATCTCAGTTGCATGCTGCTACTCTGTGAAGATCTATTGCCCATTAAGAAAATTTTATTGCTTCATTTACATGAAAAAAATAAATTAAAAATACTTCCTATTAGTCTTTAAGCCTAATTCTCCAAATAAAGTGCCTATTTAGCTATTACTGTTCATGGCAACAAGACTGTATAATGCATCACAATCAAGTAAAATATAATTGTTTCTCTTCTTATTTTTATTGGCCTGTGTTAATAAAGTGCATGTACTATTTCCATCTATTAATCTTTTGTTTAGTGTAAAAATTTTTAGTTGCATCCACAAGTATATACGTTTTATATTTCTTTAGTCAAAGTTCAGCTACCATTTTTATTCAAGGTCTCTTTCTTTTTCATTTTTTTTTTACTAGGAGAGGGTTGGGATTTAAAATGTAGAGAAGAGGGAAGGAGATTTGAACCAAAACCTCTAATTTTTGGGGTTTAGACCTTAATCACTGCACAAAACTATCGTGTCTGTAAGGGTTAATTACAATTACCTTCTTTGAGGTTTGGCGAAATTACAAAACATAATCCCTGTTTGTCGAGGAAGTCTTAATCTAGTGGCTACCTTAAGAATTAGAGGTTCTGAATTCTAATTTCCTGCCTTCTCTCCACTTCTTAAATTTTACTCCTCTCATATTGAAAAATAATTTTGAAAAAAAGAATATGAAGAAGTTTTTCCATGTATGTGTGTAGATAATCAAATCCCAATTTTACACAAAGAACATATTAACTTTAAATACAAAACAAACACTTCTTTGAGTGTCGGTACATTCAGTCATAGGCGAGAAAAGACAACTTCAAAACGAGGTCCAGGTTTCACTATTCATATCATCTTATTAAATTTTATTGACCAACACCTAATTGTACACCCAAATGTAATAGATGATTGTTGTATAAAGAAAGTTAGAATATGGTGGTGGCTGAGATGAGTCATAAGCAAAGAAAAATAGAAGAGAGAAGAGATTTTCTTGATGTTTTTCACTTCTTTCTATATCGTTTTTCAGTTGTTAATACGTGATTGTTTTCTTTTATTCGGTGTTTTATCGTTTCCTGGACAACATTAAGAGATTTTCTTCTTCACAGCTGGCTTTCAAAGGGCTAGATCGCATGTTGTTTAAACTACAAGGTCTTTTTTACGATTTGGACAACTCTCAAGGGAGATAATTGTAGATAATTGCACTTTTCTACAAGGATGTTTTCTTTGGGGTTTGGAGACTGTAGTAAAAGTAATTTATTACAAACAGAAGGCTCATTTGCTAATTCAATCAAACTGGGCTACCATAAATCTCATACTGCCAGTAACAGTTGTAAGATCATCTTTCATCACTCAATTCAATATCCAGAAGAGGTTCTTCTGTGGACACTACCAATGTTTTTGTTGGCTTAGGTGTGTTGGCCCATAAGGTCGGCTTTGCCCATGCACTTCTAGGCCTATAAGCTAGCCCATGGGCGATTAGTGGTTACTTCCTATCAATGCCTACTAAGGGTCTGTTTGATAACATAAAAAAGTGTTGAATCTGAACTTTTTCAGACATTCAAATGTTTTGAGTGTTTGATAAATGAAAATCCATTTGCTGAACTTGTTAAGTAGTGCTGAACTTGTGTGTATTTTTTTCAGCACAAAAATCCTAACTGAATGCTTAATTCTGATAAGAATCAATAGAATTACTTCAACAACTTTATCTTATCTACCAAATCTACTCTTGTTTATTAATTATGTTCAAAATTCTTATATAATTAAATAACCTAATATTCTCTATCTAATGATTTTCTATTTCTCTTTTCTCCCTTTTGAATGACTTTCACTTATTCTTCATATTCCTCATATAATATAATTCATCTTTTATATTAATTTGATTTAAAAATAAATATTGTCATTTTCATACCTAACATTTTTAGCTAATTAAATCATAGGTTTTATTTCTTTTTTGGATGAAAAGATATAAGGGCAAAATTGTCAAATTTAACTTATTAAGCATTTAGTTATAAATATTTATTAAACAATATAAATAGGTTTAGCATTAAAATTCAGATATTCATAAATTTTTTTCAGTGTTTAAAATTCAGCAAATTAATTGTTTCAGTATTCAGATTTCAGAATTCAGACTTCAGAATTCAGATTCAGTTTTATCAAACGGAACCTAACACTACCACCAATTAATGGAAAGGAAATTTTTCAATTCCTTTTTTTTCGTTTTTTTTTTTTGGTGAAAATGGTAGTTCTTTTATTGTTTCACACATAAAATGATGCATTTAGTCCTCAACAAAATTTAACATGCAGCAATTTAATCCTACATCCCATTTCCTACCACTTTTATAATCTAAAAAAGTCCATGACCAATGCTGTATGGTGCATAACAATCAAGTAAAATATATTTCTGTTCTCTTATTATTTTTCTTGGTCTTTGTTAATAAATTACATGTACTATTTCTATCTATTAATCTTTTTTTACTGTCAAAAAATTTATAGCTCTATGCCCATGTATTTACATCTTATATTTCTTTAGTCAAACTTCAGTTACCATTTTTTGTTCAAGGTTTTTTTTTTTTTTTTTTTTATTTCTATTCAATAGAAAACAAATGGAATTTAAGAAGTGACAAGGAAGATTTGAACCAAAATCTCTAAATTCTAGGTACTGACTTCAATCATTAGACAAAAGGTCTCTTCAATCAAAGTTCAACTACCATATTGGTTTTTTTTTGTTTGGGGAGGGGGGGGGGGGGGGACATACCATTAAGGTTTAATAGCATTAACCTTATAGGTGAGATGAGTCATAGGCAAAAAAGAGAGAGAGGAAGAAATTTTGCACTACCTTTTATGTCATTTTTCAGTTGTTAGCACGTGATTGTTTTCATTTTATTTGGGTTTAAGTGTTTCTTGGATAACATTAAGAGATTTTCTTGTTAGTAGTTGGCTTTCAAAAGGCTAGATTGCATGTTGGTTAAACTACAGGGTCTTTTTTATAATTTGGACATCTCTAAGGAAGATAAAAGTACTTCAGTACCAATAGAAGGTCCATTTGCTTATCTAATCAAATCTGGGCAGAGGTCAATGCAATTAACCCTATCTTTAAACACTCTGGTAGCACTGAATTTTTAGTATAGCATTTGGGTTCATTACTTGCTTAAATTAGCATCTATAGTAGAACAAAAAGAAAGCCCAGCTATTTATTTTGTATCTATAGGTTTGCACTGATACAAATTTTGCTCTCTCAAGATGCGTGAGAAGCATCTGAAAATTCAATCATTCTTGAACTATAGCTAAATACCAAATCAATCAATTGACACCAAATCTCCCCAAACAAAAAAACTAAGAAAGATATTTGACAGAGGTAATAGAAAAGATATTGAAAATAGTAAAAGAATGCCATAATGGTTTACATAGCTCATAGCCTCCAATGTATGCGGAAAAGGAAAGATATTATTGCAGTTTTTTGGTGACAAAATGCTACCAAAACTCATCCTCTTCAGTCAAATCTTGAACCCAAACTCTGAATGGACCTATATACCAAGAATAATCAGCCTCGGTATGTCTAAACATAGTTACATATCTACTACACCTAGTGTTCCTTAAAAACTGAACGAGGTCCAAAGGTATATGATAGCAATATATAGCAGCAAGGACGCACAACAGAATCTTGATATGCAGCATTGGTAACACAGAAGACAAGCCCGTCAGAAATGCTATCATCATCAGGATCATGGCCATGAAAATTGAAGCCCTACCTCCGTGGAGCATAGCTAACTTGAACTTGTGGTTGTTGCTTTGCAAGAGCAAAATTAGATGGAGGACTGCATGAACGGAGATCATTATTGCCAAGGAATCTGAAATAACAAATGTTATAAAAATTGCTTTGTTTCCTAGAACCGCCAGCCCTTTGTTTGGACTCTCACTATCATTGTATCCACCTGGGATGGTAAAACCTGCCGTGAAAGTGACTGTTGCAATCAGTGTAGCCACAATCAAGTAAGTCCCAGCCAAACTTTCCAGTTTTTCTGGTTCTTCGGTTTTTGGTGCTCCTAAATTCTTCTTCACAGTACCAACATTTCGATAACCTGGACTAGCACCTGCTCGCTCCAACTCTTCCTTGATCAAAACCTAGGCAAGTGAATCTATTAGACATAGAACCGTAGCGATGAACTTTCAAATTTGTCACATTTTCTTTCTTATTGTATACTGGAGATGAAAAGGTAATAGAAGGAAGTATTGAGACTTTTCCAAAAATGAACTTTCTTAAAAGGCAATTCAAAGGGATCATTCTTTTATTTTTGCTCTTGATTTCCTTGGCTAAGTTTTAGTATCCTACTTTAATTAATAAGCTCATCATTGCGACCATGCAAAGGGGGAGAGAGTAAAACGGGTACCTGTCTTCCAGTAAGCTCACGGCTGTGAAGTATGTTGTCAAGAACAGTGGAATTGGAATTGTCGAAAGCACTGATATCAACACAAGGGTGATTTACAAGGCTATTACCATCTAAGTTTTTGGTGGCAACATACAGGTGGAGAGGAGTGTTTCCTTTAGAATCCTTTTGGTTGATGAGTTCAGAAGCCCAAGAATACTGTAAGAAAAATTCCAACACTTCTCTTTGTTCATATTTTACAGCAAGATGAAGGATGTTCTGGCGTTTATATGTGATCCTCTCCCAACAATCTGGGCAATGCAATAAAAGCTCTTTTATGACAGCTACATGTCCTTGAGTCACCGCAATATGTAAAGCAGTCATTGAGTCGTCATTATTGGCAGTAACATAGGCCATGAACTTGTATTTAGACAATAATTGTCTTACTACTCCTTGATGATTAAATTTAGCAGCATAATGAAGTGCATTCCATCCAAATTTGTCGACTTTCTTTGTAAGATTTGGCAGCTTCTGTAAAACCAGTTCCACTTCTGCACAGCAGCCAATGTTTTTTTAAGATATTATAGTTCATTAAAAATAAACCGCAAGAACTCACAACTTGGATATTATCCCAGCTAAATTGCACTTTTTGCAAATTGGTTTAAAGGAATAAATTGATATCATAAACCAAATTGATTTGTTTATCAATAAAAGGCGATGATATGCAAGTTGAATTTCGACACTTCATAGATCAAAGGCTCTATAAAGCATAAACGACGCTTAAACAGACTAAGATGGAGTCAGAAATATTTAAAACTCAAGATATGTAATTGTTCAATAGATAATTTCAGGCCATGATCCTTAATCCAGGAGTAAAAATGGTTACCCTGCTTTCCCCCGCGTCTTCTCTGTTAATGTATCAGAATGGATAAACATCCAAAATTTGTTGCTTTTTCAGAGATGGTGAGTGACATTTAAGGCTACCTGGCGAATTCCGTATAGCTGCAGCGTGCAGGGCAGTTCTGTTACCGGGGCCGAGATAAGATGAAGACTTGCAAGTCACCAAAATCAGAACAGCGATATCATGATATCCCTTCTCTACTGCTAGATACAGAGGAGTCTCCATAGCATAATTGGGGCGATAATGAAACTCAGGATCTTCTTGAACCAACAATTTGGCAACCTCATAGAAGTTTGTTCCTAACTGCCTCATGTAAAGCTGTGTTGCCATCCACATTAGCCATCCTCAGCATCCTCTTGCATCCGTCAAAACCCGGAAATCGAAATCCTGAATGAGGATATTGATGTCTTGCAGATGCAATAAGTGCTCGAACAATGCCCAGGTGCCCCTTTCTAGCTGCCAAATGAAGTGCTGTTTCGCCATGAACATTCTTTTTCATTAGCAGACAGCAATGTCCTGCAAGGATATGTCGCGCTACCTCTGCAGAGTCACAAAACTGGGCTAATACGTGGAGGACTGTGTTTCCAGTCGAAGTCTTCTGAGAATAGAAGTTCCCAGAAAACCTTTTCATTAGAACCCAATCACCTAAATGCGCTGCTGTATACAATTCAGGATCCATTTGTTTCTGTAACTCATTGTCTAAATACTACAGTGGGACATGCCAGACACATACTATAGTTAGAATTTTTCATCGAAGTTTCTGGTTTATGACTTGTAAATATTTAATTGACACCATGGTTTCTTTTCTGGTGTATATCGTAGAAAACCTTGTGCTATGAATGGTTGAATAATTTGACTGGCAGCCCATAAAAAATATGAACATAACCATGAATTGACTTGTGACTACGCGGGTTCAGAAGACTTCAGTTTCTTGGAAAAATTTTGAGTTTACTTCCACTTTCGTGGGAAGACTTGACTCCACTTTCGTTTTCTTGCCGAGGAAGTGGGAGGAAGGTTGATCGTTTAGCTGTGTGGTTAGTGACCCGAGGCATGACGTGAGGAGAATGGCACCTAAAAAGTGCAAAATTTGTGTGACTACTAATGGATACTTCCATTCCTTGCATGCCACAATCTATTTTACACAACTGCTTTTATAGAAACCGGACTATCAATTTTATACCAAATTAAGTTCAGTACAAGGAGATTAAACCCTATCCATTCTACCACTTGGTTAATTTCTTTCACCAGGAGGACTTAACAAACCTGCATGTTGACCCCAAGAGAGCCATCGGAGCCATGCTTTTGCCAAATTTAGCAAATCCAAGGTCTTTAAGTACAACTTTTAATCTTTCTCTTGGTAGAGATATCAGAGGTTCAAGGGGTGATATTAGATGAAGAAACTAGAGCTGAAATTGCCTTAACGGATAATTTCTTTGGTTATTAAGGTCATCATTAACGATAGTAAAGATCAGTGTTCAAATAATCTATATTTCTTTCATCTTAGTCGTGCACAGGAGTATAAATTAAATAAATGTCTAGATTTGGTCATTTGAGGGAACATTTCATCGGTATCATAATCTGAACTGAGATCGAGTTGCACAAATATAGCATGAAAAAAAAAAGGCGGCCACAAGGTTGAAAGGGAAGAAGAGAGCACATTCCATCGTTTTGTTCTTGTGCCATATATCAACATTGCCCGCCCAATCTGAACGGCCTATGGAGGAACTTTTGTGACGAGGCTAGGCAAAGATCAGTCAACAAGGGACACAATTAAACAGGTGAGAGAGAGAGAGAAACTACAGTACTACAAAAATATACAACATGTTTAAGAAGCTCTATATGCATTTACAAAATCTACAGCATCATCTCGACAAACTGTAGCATTATCAACTCTAATCTTCCTTGGAAAATTGCATGAACATCTACTGCTTAAGTTGCACAACTAAGCTTTTACTCCGAACAAGATGAGAAGGGAAGCACTGTCAATAAGAAGCCGAGGCTTAACATACCAGACTTGGGCGTTCAAGCCCTCTTGCTTTCCGGGCAAACATCGAAGTCGTGATGAGTTACTCTTGAAATGCTTGGACATGTCTGATATTTTCACAAGGCATAGATTCTCTCATCAGAATTATAGTCATCCAGATCAGAAATGTTTGCCGAATAGGACCAAGAAAATGATTTGCTTCCACTTGCCCTTCTGATCCGTCTCTGAGAATCATTACCAAAAACTCCAAAATGCTGTCGAAAAACAAAGTAGCTCATGCTAACCAGCGTCCCACCCAGAATGGGTAAACCCACCACTGTGATTGTTATAGCCATCCAAGAGCTCTTCCTTCCCACTACCACAAAAGCTATAGCTAAATATGCTCCACAGGTGCTCATACAGGCAGCCCACATCAGCTTATTTACAATCGAGACTATTAGTTTCTGAGATCTAGTATCCCAGGCAACCAAAGTGATCTGAACAACAACTACTGCTAGAGAAATGAAGAGAGAGGTGGCATTCAGGAGGCAAAACACCCGGAAGCCAACAGTACCAGAGATCAATGCCTTTCCTGCTTCTGGTCCATCTGTCATATATTGGCCAGGCAAGTTGAATATAGCCAAGAAAGCTATGGAGGCGAAAAGAACAGCAGCCACTGTTACAGAGTTGATGGTATTTTGAACAGCCTCTCTATGAATTTTCTTGAGTTCTTTGGCGATGCCTGAAACTCGCCTCTGAGTCTTCTCATTCTGTATTAACTGAGAGTGCACCTCATGCTTAATATCACTCACAGCCCTTTTGAGTTCTATTGTTACATCAACTTGACCAACATGCCTTGCATGTTTGGCACCAGCCTCTAACAGAGCTTCTTTGATCTCCAATGCTGATTCTCCGTATTGGAGTTTGTCAGCAATGTCCATCGCAGTTTCTTGTTGATTGTTGATCACATTGACTTCAATGGATGTGTATGTCAGCAAGAAGCCTACCACCTAAAATGAAGCAGCAGGGTAGGCAGAATCAGGAAACACACTTCATGAAGCGAACAATGGCCGTACCTTATGAAATTACAAAACCAGAACAAAGAACACTAAGAATTAGCTTTTGGCAAAAAGGTATACAATTTGGTCTAATATTGACTGGTTTCATGATTGACACTAAAGAAACCCTGATCACCCCCAAGCAAATGTTGGCTTATTTTCTTCTCTATGCAAACCCCTCTACTTCCCACCCTCCTCCACATCCCACCCCCCCCCCCCAAAAAAAATTTAAACCAAGGATTCTTCTCGCCATTTTGCTCTCTTTTAAGCAAGCGAAACTCCTGTAATGACTATGGTTTAGAAAAAAAAAAAAAAAAAAAGAAAGAGGTTTCAATGGCTGAAATTCCAGATAGCTAAATAGAAACGGTATGGTACCACAATTAATTCACCATTTTAAATTAGACTAGTTCCTTGCACATTTTAACAATTAGAAAGAAAGAAGCAAGTAGAGGGCATGACCCAAATGCAAGTAAAAAGGCAGTCTACTCAGTAAATTATGCAAGACTACCCAGGAACTTGACAGGAGATATATAGAGTAAACTTTAGTTTTCATGTATTGACAGGTATAATGTATCCCAGAGTTCAGTCTCAAGTAGCTGAAACGTCCTTCCTTACCCTAAAAGGCTCTTAGAATCTTCCCTCCACAAAAATCCATTGTGTTCAGCCTCCATTTCTATAACTTCTATAGGATCAATCAGCATCACCTGCTAATTACCCATAGCATATTCACACCAATAGAAGCCATAAAATCTTCCATCCATCACTCAGGGCACCTCTTCAGACGCTAATGTCTATATTAAATTCCCAAGGATTATTATGTTACAAACAGATGGTGTTATGCAAAGTCACCTATGAGGTTCTGATCACTTCCTCAACTAGTATATTGAGTAAAGTGGGATACCATCATTCATCCCTTTCCTTCCTGCCATAATAGCTAATTGCAAGTAGCAAAAATCCTCTCCTCACTGCCTATATTCAGAACACCTTCAATGGGGCAAATGCATCCTAAACAAAAAGCTGAAACCTGCTCACCGCTTTAAACTTGATACCAACTATTTTTAGTTTCTTAAATTGGAAATGACCTCACTATAAGCCACTATCAACACTTCAATTCTGATTTTCAGAACAAAGAAGAAAGATAATAACAAACATGCCAAGATCCAACTAGAAAATATTCCAAACAGAAAATGCTTTAAATCATTTTTGCATCCTTTAGAGGTTCAAATAAAAAAAAAAAAAAGAGAATTAACTGATCAAGAAACATGGAAGGAGACAAAGGAATTTCAACAAGAAGAAACATTAACCAATTCCACACACACACCCCCCACCCCCCAAAAAAAAAATCAAACAACCAAGAGTACCAGCTGAGGATACCTCAGAACGGACTTTCCGAGTAGCTATATGCACAGCTGTATTGCCCTTTTTATCACGTTCATTCAGTATAGAATGATCAGCATCCAATAGATCCTCCAAAACTGAAGTATCCTGACCTTTTGCAGCCATATGCAGTGCAGTTTGGCCCTTCTTGTCCTTTATGGACACAATCCCTGGATCTCTTTCTATTAAAACTTTCACAATAGGGAGAAGGCCATATCGTGCAACGGTGTGTAATGCTGTTTTGCCATTCTTCCGCACAATAAGCATGGAGCTCACATCTGCATCTAATATAGCATTAACTACATCTAGATGGCCATGGGTAGCAGCTGAGTAAAGAGGGCTTGTGTTTGAAGAATTACAAGCTCTACAAAGCTCAGGCCACAAGCTCAAAAATTTCTGGACAATTCCTGCATAAGAAACATACAACACGACATCAACTGCATATAATAGAAATATGAAAAAAATATATGAAATCATGCAGCTCCAGATAGAATACTCCAGGAGACTTTTGATTTTATTTAAGTCAACTAGGTTCATATTCTATAAGGAGAACTTCTGCAAGAAATATTGAAGTAGAAAGGAAAACAGCAATCTCAATGGCAACGCATACCAAAATAAAACCAAAAGCCTGTAAAATTGCTGAGACCCTAAGATTGCTAATGGGCAACATTGTAAATATTATTTTATTAAGTTTTGCGTGCAGAACCTTATACTGCACAGTAACGTAACATGCTGAAGCGATCACAAGTATTCGACACAAAATGTGGTAAGAAATGATTTAACATCTAGATATCTTTCTCATCCTGTATGCTAGCTACCACATTCATCCATCTTATGCT